GATTAACAAATCACCAAGATTTGAACCTACGGATTCTATTATTTAATTTATTAGAATATTAATTCAATTAAATAATAGACATTACCATACATGCATCAATTATATATATTTAAAGTGTTTATGTCCAAAGTTGATTGAACCTATGGCATAACACTTAGCGTGTGTCTGGTGGAAATTTTCACATTCCAAAATCAATTTTTCAGTCAAATCAAGGGTCCCACTTGCTGAAATCATTTCACGTGTTCTACACAATTTGAACCAAAAATTACCCTTTTATCCTCCATGTGCAATTTGAACCGTGTAATGACAGGGATGAAATGGGAAAATGACAAATAAATGGCCAACTTTTTCAACTAAAGGTGTTAGACATGTCCATCAACAATAGGCAGCAACGATCCTTTTTTTAATTTGTAACGGTTGAAAAAGCGCTACCTATCACTACCGACACACGCTTACAATGTCCCTACTAAAATGTGGTACAATGCATCATTTTCAAATTTTTATGATTTTTGTCCGTCTTCTGACAATCAGTTAATTGCATGCTTCAGCCAATCAGGGACGGATTTAGGAGGGTGGACCCCCAGCCCAATTAATTTCTTTAGTAGAAAATAATTTCATGTAAAAAAAAAATTCCTGTGTAATTTTTTTTGATTTTTTAAGTATTAGTCCGATCTTTAATTTAGCCAGTGACGCTGTAATTACAAGACAGCTTTTCGAGTTACAAAGAGATAAAGCGACACATGGGCTGATGGGCATGATTTCTTATGATAAGGAGAAAATCTTTCCCATGTGCAACTCGTGCCATTTTCCAAATATCTGCTGAACTTGAAACGTTTAGTAAAATGCATTCCACCAACCACTGGAACACACACTGGGGGAATTAATTACTTACTTGTACAATTGAGATTTTCAAGAAATTATATTTCTTGAAGTTTGAAGCATTTATTGGCATAGGAGTCATTTTTTTGTAGTGTATTGAAGGGAAAACCAGAATGGAAGAAGAAGGGATTGAAGAGAGTAGCGTGAGATTGTTGGGCGGCGGCAACGGCAACGGCGGAGGTGTTGGTGGGGAGTCTAGGTGGGTAGATGGAAGTGAAGTGGATTTAGAGCCACCACCATGGTCTTTGATTGGTGAAGTGGAGATTAGTGAAGGGAAAAGTAGAAAACTGAAAGAGGAAGGGATTGAAGAGAGTAGTGTGAGATTGTTGGGTGGTAGTGGTGGTGGGAGCGGAGGTGGTGGGGAGATTAGGTGGGTGGATGGAAGTGAAGTGGATTCAGAATCACCACCATGGTCTTTGGTGGGTGATGTGGATATTATTGAAGGTTTAGGATCTGTTAGAAGGAGGCTTGTAAAGAAGCCTAAAAGAGTTGATTCTTTTGATGTTGAAGCTATGAAAATTGCTGACTCTTCTGGACATCATAAAAAGGTCGTAAATGAATTGATCTTTACTGGTATACATTTTTGTATTGTAACAATGTCTGGCACACTAGACTGGAAAAGATATGTACAATGACAGATTTTCTAGAATTACAAATTATTGTGAAGTAAAAGTTCTGCCTTTGATTTGTAATTCTCAATTTTTAATTCACCCCACCATCCTCTAGGTGGCAAGTTTCATCTCCACTCAATAATTCTCAAATTACAGTTCAATGGAAGAAAAAATATATATATATCAGCAATTTTCAATCTGGTAAACAATTCTGAGGTGAAGGTCTTGCTTTCGACTAACAATTAGCTAGATGGTGAACATTTCAGCATTGTTTCTGTAAATGTAAATGCTTATAGTTTCCTAATTGAGATTATCTTCAACAAATCAGGATATTTCTCTTTGGAGAACTCTCGCGATGGCATTTCAAACACTCGGTGTTGTATACGGTGATATGGGCACAAGCCCTTTATACGTCTTCTCTGATGTATTCAGTAAGGTGCCCATAACATCAGAGGTCGATGTCTTGGGAGCTTTATCGCTTGTAATGTACACAATTGCTCTCATTCCTTTAACAAAATATGTTTTTGTGGTGCTCAAGGCAAATGATAATGGAGAAGGTATGAACTTTTTGCTTAAAAATTAACTTATTTCTCATCTGGTTTGGCAAATTCAATACTAACGACTTCCATTGTTCAATTGGCAGGAGGAACATTTGCATTATATTCACTGATTTGCAGGTATGCAAATGTTAATCTTCTTCCCAATCGTCAACAGGCCGATGAATATATTTCAAGTTTCAAGCTGAAACTTCCGACTCCAGAACTTGAGAGGGCATTAAGTATAAAAGAGACATTGGAACATAAGTCCTCTTTGAAAACCCTTCTCTTACTATTGGTTCTTATGGGCACATCTATGATTATAGGGGATGGTATTCTGACGCCGGCTATTTCTGGTATTTCGACTTTTCACCTATACTAAAATTGAATAAGAAAAGTAACGGTATTACCTACCAATATATTTTTTGATGTAGTAATGTCTGCTGTGAGCGGTCTTCAAGGTCGGATACCAGGATTTGGTACAGGTGGGTAAGCCGAGTTTCTACGTCTTATTACCTAGTATAGGACTAGGTTTTGTCAAACTAAGTCATCTAAAAGCTCCAAGTTGTCAGGAATATGAGACATTTATTTTGTTAACTGTGTCTTCAACACATTTCACATATCAATGGCCTAACTCCTGCACAATTTTTTGTTAATGAGTTACTATTGAACTTAACAAAGACCTTTGCCTGTTGCCTTGTTCTAATACCATTTTGAACTGCCTATCTAACAGTACGTACGCAGATAGAGTTCTCGTGTGTTTATTTATTTAGTGTCTTCAACAAGGTTGTTCAATCTGATATTTTTGTTAACAGCATATTCTCTGTATTCTCAAATAAAGCATTCGGCAGAATATATTAGTGACTATTCCAAGTAGTGAACAGGACTAAACATTAGAAAATTTTCATAAATTATTTGAACATAATCTTGTTTTAATGTCCCATTGCAATATATGTTAAATTATATCACCTCAGTTTTAATCATTTTTTTCCAGATGCTCTTGTTATCGCCTCAATTGTTATCCTTGTGGGATTATTTAGCATACAGAGGTTTGGGACAAGTAAAGTGGGGTTCACATTTGCTCCTGCCCTTGCCTTATGGTTCTTTAGTCTTGGATCTATTGGAATTTACAATCTTTTCAAGCACAATGCAACAGTTATAAAGGCAATCAACCCTGTTTACATCTATCTGTTCTTCAAGAAGAATAGCATCAAGGGATGGTCGGCACTCGGTGGTTGCGTGTTATGCATCACAGGTAAGTTGAACATGCAATGTTCATTTTCCATCGATTATCTGCATGAGACAGCGCCTTTCATTTTTTATTTGGTACGGATTAGGAAATTTTCTTTTTGTCCCAATTCACAGTATATAAAAATGTTAGTATGTATGTATGCACGTGCATATATATAGCGATGCTGAGACTGATGTACACTCAGACGTGTATTTATTATTCTACTTTCAGTCATTTAGATATTGTATGAATCACAATTGCAGGTGCAGAAGCAATGTTTGCTGACCTAGGTCACTTCTCTGTACCATCAATACAGGTTTGTTTATCCCCTCGGTTTTATATTCCTACATCTTATCTTAAAGGTTATCTTCACATGTTCTTAATACAGTAACGGGCTTATTTGATAATGCCACAGATTGCCTTCACCAGTGTGGTTTTTCCCTGCCTTCTCTTAGCTTACATGGGACAAGCTGCTTATCTCACGAAACATCCCGGTTCAGCTGATAGAATATTTTACGATTCTGTTCCAGGTGATGGTTTCTAAAATGTGGCTTCTTATTAATTTCATTCTTGAACTCCTCGGAGTAGGAGCCTAATCACATCATAAACGTATCTCTTCAACCATTTGATAGTGGATTTGTTTCCAAGTGCATTGATCAATTGATTCTGGAAGTGTATGGATCTTGATAAGTAATAAAGTGGATTTTGAGTACGAATATCGTCCCACAGAAATTGAGTATTTAATATCATTTTAAATCCTAAATCTAGCGTCAATCTGAATTAATCTAATCCATTAACAAATCAAGAGTTTATAAACTAATCTAAATTAATTTAATTAATCTAATTTTTAGAGAGCTTTTGGGATTGATTGGGTTAGTAATTCCAATTTCACTAAAGCTATTTAATATTCATTCGATCCAATATCATTCAGCCTCTTTTGATATGCATTAACAATCAAATTAACCAATTTAAGTTAGTAATCTCTCTCTCGAGCAAAACTAGCCTTGTTCACATGCCCGAATTTAACGTATCTAATTCATATGAATGTAAAATCATTAATTCATAGGAACTCAATCAAAATTGCCTAAGCTATAATAATCTCTTGATCTCTTATAAAACTTGTAACTTATTTCATGAGCTAGATTAATTCGTCACCTCTTAGTCTTAATATTATCCATAAATCAATCAATTGGTGATCAAACAGTTTTATACAATTAAAACACAATAAGTAATCAACACATAATTAAGTTGCATGAAATCTTTAGAATTAAATAAATATTAAACTTAAGCTACATCGTTCATCCTAACAACCAATCATTTAGTCTATCATAATTGCAAAATTAAATAATTAAAATAAAAATACCGGGTTTAATACAAGGAATAAATAAAAGAATCATAGCAATTGTTGTTCTTTGGCACCCAATTCTCAACAACGAATCTTCAATCTTCTCTTCAAAGCTTGTACATCTCGTGTCCAATTGTTTTTTCAACCTTCAAATCCCAAATTGAGATACAAGGTGATAAGGAAGCATTAGTGAATGAAAGATTCCTATTAATATACCTCAATTTAGGTTTCCCGAGCTGATAGGAAACCATAATTCTAGTCCAATTAGGATATTTCAAATTGTTGGAATTTATACTTCACTTGTGCAATTTGGTTCCCATTTCCTCTTTTTGTTCAGATTGAGTCATTAGATAATGCAATTGAGGTCCGTCAACTTCTAAACATAACTCCTTGGTCCCCAACTTCCAGTATATGTCGAACTTTAATCCCTTTTTATCAATTATTGTTCATTTTCATCTGTTCTTGTCCAATTTAGAATTTCCTCCTAAAATAATCGATAAACAGTCATAATTAAGTATCAAGCTCATAATAATCACTCCCAAAGTCTAATTTTGACGGCCAAGATAAGTGTGATATTTACACTTTTCATGCTTAGTTTGATTTCTGTTATAGTGGTGTATTGGGAATCATTCTTAGTTTGATTTCTATTATAGTGGTGTATTGGACTCTCATTCATGTGTTAGGTGTTGGGTTTTGATACCCAATAAATCTGGGCGATGATGTTAAACCGGTTTTATAGTTTGGATTAGACTTCATAGGCATCGACTGATGATTGAAGTGAAATGTCGATACCACAAGGAACGAACCACTTTGACAACCTAAGTGGGCCATTTGAAGTAATCTAATCTCATTAGTGTTGCTCATGGCTCGGCCCATTACTTTGGACGGCTTTAGGGTTGAAAGCCCACTTGTAACAATCTATTAGGCCTCTTGTGTTTGACCTTAAAGCCCACTTACCTTATGCTTATAAGTGGGGCAGTTTTCTTGTGTTTTGCCCTAGTGTGAATGTTGGAGCCGTGAGAATTGGGAGAGAAAAGAGAGTTTCTTGCTTTGTGCTTCCTCTTGCTTTGGGCTACCTTCTCTTCCTCTTCTCTTAGCCTTTGTGGCTAGTTTGGGCTACCAAAACATCACTCACACTCAGCCTTTGTGGCACCTTGGAAGCAACCAAGTGGTGGTGGTTTTACTTTGGATTTTGGTTGTCGTTGTGGTGTCGATTTGTTGGTTTTTGGATGAATTGGAGGACAATAATCTACAAATGGTATTAGAGCAGGGTTGTCGTGGATTTTATGGCCAGAAACGAGCAAAAACCGTCAAGAAACTCAGCAGAAAACCGGCAGAGAAAGCTGTCCAAAAATTTGCACAAAAACCGCACCTGCAAATGCGATTTTCGGCCAAACCAGAGACTTTTTGGAGAAACGGACACCACGGCAGACTCAGCAAGCAGAGGAGAACGTGGGTCGCAGGCGCATGTTCGCCACACCGACGCGTGAAGCCCACGTTCAGCGCCGGCTATGGCGCGTGCGGTGCATGGGAGCTGATTCTGGAGATGTGGTCTTCGGGCAGTTTTTCCAGGACATCGAGACGGACCCTACGGTGTTGTCGGATTTCAGTTTCGAGCAATACGGTGAAATCTGGACGATTTTGCGTTTTGGACGTCCGGGTGCTGTTTCGTGTTGATGGAAGCTTTGGGGCGGATTAAGGTAGTCCTAAAGTGGTGAATTTGCAGCTCTCGATATTTACGGACCTTCAGACGTAGTCCGCTCGGTATCGTGTTCTTTGTTTGTTATTATTACAGTTAAAATTATTGTGTAGGATAATTTATTTATCGCATTAGAAGTCATCGTGTGAGGTGACGTTAGGTTTGGGGTTACCATGAAGGGGTAACCATCGGCTGATGCTAGACCTATAAATTACTTGTTAATTATTTGCCTTAAATTCATCGTGAATTTGTTGTCAATTTATTTTTCATTATTTAGAATTACACGTGACCTTAGGAAAGTTTACTTGACTATTCCGTGTAAATTGTGTCGGTACTTTACTTGTGGTCGGTATTAGTTGTATTTTGTGTTTTGTGCATTTTTTGGGTAAAATGATGACACATTATGAGTTGTATATGTTTTAATGAAAATATGATATTTTAATTTGGCAAATGTGGTCTAAGATAAGTGCGAAAAGTAATATGTGTTTTAACTGCAGTTATTTGGATATTGTTGAAATGGACGGTCTTAGGGATGATAAAAGGAAAGTTGATGAGAGTGGTGATGCGAATTCTATTTTTGGGTCGAGTAATGACCTATGTGAGGTTTATTGAGAGTAAACCTGGTTACTACTATGTGCATTTGTGTGTAATCCTTTTTGCATGTGTGAGATTGCTCAATTCAGTTGTATGACTATATGTTGCATTTCAATGTGTTTGATATGTGCATTGACATGAATTGGAGTGATCTTATTACTTGGTGTAATTGGTTGCATGCATAGTGGGTTAAGATCTATGGCGTACTCCGTTTGCTCTGTGAGTGGGTGTGAGAGTGTGGTAGTGAGAAGTTAGAGAGGCATCCATTTTCTCCTTCATCTGTGTGAGCCTGTGTGGTTTTGTGAGATTATGTGGAGCAGCCTATGAGGGTTATCTTCGTTCTCTGTGTGAGCCTCTTTGTGAGTAGTGAAGTAACCGACTCTTTCTTCTATCCTCTTTGTGAGTGCCACTGTCACCCTTCCCTATGTGGGATTTATCCTTTGTGGATTTTTTGAGCGTTAGTGTTTGGAGTAGCTTTGTTGGTGCGTGGGTCAATTTAAATTGAGCCCTAATCTTTGTGGTCACCGAAAGGTTTCGATTTGCCATAGTGGGATTGTGATGCATTTGTGGTGTGTTGAATGTCTTTTGGTAAGGTGGAGTATAGATGCCTATGGGTACATTGGTTGTATTGTGGGATGTGGAGTGTGGCATTTGGATCACGGTGGAGATGTGATCAAATGTTGGAATCCTTTATCTGGGAGAGACCCTGATCAGGTGGAGTGCGAGTGAGGCACTTCTATCACTTCTGTTAGGTGGAGACCCATTATCCATTTAGGTTGGAGAAGTGATGTTGATAGAGGATTATCACTTAGGATCTATAGAGGTTTACCAGTTAGACATGAGTTGAGTGATTAGTCTAGTGAGCATTGTGGGCGATGAGGTGAGATTTGTGTTCTCGAGGAGTGAGCAACACGGAATGAGATAGGATAATTGTGGTGAGATCTTCGTGAGGTCATTTATGCATTTGTTGCGTATGTGTTGGCCTGTTGATTGATTTGATGTTAATCTGTTGTTCTGTGTGAAAATGGTTGAAAAGATCTGTGTTATCCAATATATGATATCTCCATCGCATGTTTATTTGTTCTTGATTGATTGCTGTGAGTATTTGCTTCTACTTG